CACTAAGCGCGTTCCTGGGTGTGGCTGACGCATGTGGCCACCCCCATAGGGGCCGCAAGTGGAACTCCATATGGGGCCACGAAGCGCCGTAATGGGTGTGGCGGACGCATGTGGCCACCCCCACTGGGGCCGCACATGGAGTTCCCCATGGGGCCACGAAGCACTGTACTGGGTGTGGCGGACGCATGTGGCCACCCCCATTGGGGCCTCAGATGGAACTCCATATGGGGCCACGAAGCGCTGTACTGGGTGTGGCGGACGCATGTGGCTACCCCCACTGGGGCTTTAGGTGGAGCTTATTATGGGGCCACGAAAAGGGGTGCTGGGCGTGGCGGGCGCATGTGGCCACCCCCACTAGGGCCGCTGATGGAGTTCTTTTGGGGGCCACGAAACGCTGCACTGGGTGTGGCGGGCGCATGCGGCCACCCCCACTGGGGTTTTGCGTGGGGCTCCCTATGGGGCCACGAAACGCTGTACTGGGTTTGGCGGGCGCAAGTGGCGACCCCACCTGGGCCCTTAGGTGGAGCTTCCTATGGGGCCACGAAAGGCGGTGCTGGGTGTGGCGGGCGCATGTGGCCACCCCCACTGGGGCCGCAGATGGAGTTCCCTATGGCGCCACGAAGCGCTGTACTGGGCATGGCGGACGCGTGTGGCCACCCTCATTTGAGGCTTTAGGTGGAGTTCCTTATGGGGCCACGAAACGCTGTACTGGGTGTGGCGAACGAATGTCGCCACCCCCACTGGGGCCTTAGGTGGAGCTCCCTATGGGGCCACGAAGCGCCGTACTGGGTGTTGCGGACGCATGTGCCCACCCCCAGTGCAGTTTTTTGGTGGATACCCTTATGGGGCCACGAAGCGCTGTATTGGGTGTGGCGGACGCATGTGGCTACCCCCACTGGGGCTTTAGGTGGAGCTTCCTATGGGGCCACGAAGCGCTGTAGTGGGTGTGGCGGACGCATGTGGCCACCCCCAGTGGGGCCTCACTTGGAGCTCCCTATGGGGCCACGAAGCGCTGCAGTGGGTGGGTGAAACGCAAGGAGGAAGGAGGAGGAGGGAGGAGGGGGAGGAGGGAGGAGGAGGAGGAGGAAACGCGGGGACCGTCTTCGCAAAACGAGGACCCAACACCACATGCTGGTTGGGAAAAACCTTCGGTTCTGTAGAGATTCCAAAACCGAGTGTCCAAACAACATATAAAACAGGGTTTCGCAACACGGATTCTCATACACATTTTTGAGCACCCCCCAAAAAAGGTGCGCGCGTTCTTGCGTCGTCGTCGTCGTCGCCGTTTCCCTCCTCCATCCTTTTTCGTCGTCGTCGTCTCCCTCGTCGTCCTCTGTTATTCCTCGTCGTCGTCGTCGTCCTCTTTGGCGTCTTCGTCGTTTCCGTCGTCGTTGTTGCCGTGGTCGTCATTCCTCCTCCTTCGTCGTCGTCGTCCGTCGTCGGCGTCTCGTCGTCGTCCCTCCTATTTCGTCGCCGTCGTCGTCGTCGTCGTCTTCCCTCCTCCCTCGTCGTTGTCGTCGTCGGCGTCCTCCCTCCTTCTTCGTCGTTCGCGTCGTCGCCGTCCTCCCTCCTCCCTCGTCGTTGTCGTCGTTGTCGCCGCCGTCGTCCCTCTCCTCCCTCGTCATCGTCGTCTTCCTTTGCGACGTCGTCGTCGTCGTCGTCGGCGTCGGCGTCGTCGTCGTCGTCTTCGTCGGCGTCGTCGTCGTCGGCGTCGTCGTCGTTGTCGTCGTCGTCGTCGGCGTCGGCGTCGTCATCGTCGTCGTCGGTGTCGTCGTCTTCGTTGTCGCTGTCTTCGTCGGAGTCGTCGTTGGTGTCATCGTAGTCGTCGTCGGCGTCGTCGTCGTTGTCGCTGCCGTTGTCGGCTCCGGTGTCGGTCTTAAGACGTATTGCGACCAAGTTGCGGGTGGGAGGGTGGGATGTTTGCACGAGCAGCGGAGAGGACAGCCTCAAGACAGTCAAAGTGAATTGCACCACATAGATTCTCTCTTCAAAAAAGAGAACAAAGCAATAGCAATTTACATGCGATTCTACCCCATCGTCCATCTCAAATATGACATCCCCATGAAATCATGCCATCCCAGGGGAACTGATATCGTCCGCCCCCCGCCATCTTCTGCAACAAATACCATGCGCGCGCACTCGGAGATCAAAAACCACAACCGGTGCACACGCGCGCGTCGTCGCGCGCGCATGCCGGAATCCTTCGAAAATTGTCGGGTTCGTAGAGATTTCAAAATCGAGTGTCCAAACAACATATCAAAACACAGGGTTTCGCAACACGGATTTTCAAAAAAAAGCTTGCGCGCGCGCTCTTGTGAATTTTGGACTAAACCATATGGTTTTTCAACGTTTTCACGAAAATGCTACCAAACGGGCTTCGCGCGCGCGCATGTCGAAATCGTTCGCACGCCCTTGCGCGCGTGCTGGGGTGGCGCGCCTGCCGCGCGCGCATTTCGAACTCCCAAAACTTCAGCACCGACGCAAAGACGCCGTCATCGTCGCCGGCGTGATCAGCATCGGCGCCATCACTGGCTGCCCCGTCGTCGTTTTCAGCATCGTCACCAGCATCGCTACTATCATCAGCATCATCATCAGCATCATCAGCATCATCATCATCTTCATCATCATCATCATCATTCTCCTGTCTATTGTTGTCGAGGTTGCCATGATACCGCGCCCGCCCAAGTCGCCGATTCGCAATGAATGTGCCCGCTGGGATGTACCGAGCGGTCAGCGCCACCGCGTTCGCGTCGGTCGCGCCAATCTAGGTGGCCGCTGCACGCGCGGGCCTGCGCGGGCTAGCGCGGCCGCACAGATGCACCAGCCAACACGAAGCACTCATCGCACTCGCTTCCGCGTGCGTCTTGCAAACCAAGTTGCGGGTGGGTGGGTGGGTGGGATGATTGCGCGAGCAGTGGAGTCGACAGTTTCAAGCTCGGTAATGCGAATTGCACCACTGAAGTTGCACCACATAGATCACCCCACGTAAATTTTCGTTTCTTAAAAAAGATATAGGTTCCACCCCCCCCGGACTTATCCATTCACAGGGAACCCATGTAAAACACATGTGATTCTGTCCCAATGACCATCCTGCCTGTGAGTTCGTACTATCCCAGCCAAGCCGGTATCGACCCCCCCTCGGCTCCCTTGCAAAGAATGTTATGCGTGCACATTCGTTGATCACAAATCATGCATTTCAGGAGCCCTTTAGAAATATAACGAAGTGCACGCGCGGGTCGTCGCGCGCATGCCAAAATCCTTCAAAAACCTTTCTGGTTTCTGAAGGAATTCAAAATCGAGCGTCCAAATAGCATATAAAAATCAGGGTTTCGCAACACGGGTTTTCAACAACAAAGTGCGCGCCCTTACGAATTCTGAATTAAATCATCGGTTTTTCAACATTCATAAAATGCTACCAAACGGGCTTCGCGCGCGCATGTCGAAATCGTTCGCACGCCCTTGCGCGCGTGTTGGGGTGGCACGATCCGTGTCAAATAATACGATACGAGCCACTCTCGCGCGTCTGCCTCGCTTGGATTTCGAACTCCTTCCAAAACTTCATCACCGACGCGAAGATGCCATCATCGTTGTCGACGTGATCGGCATCGGCGCCGTTATCGCCACTATCATCTTCATCTTGTCTACACGTGTCGTCACCAGCATCGCCACTATCATCGTCATCGTGTCTACAAGTGTCGACGTTGCCATGATACCGCGCCCGCCCAAGCCGCCGACTCGCACACAGGTGCCTGCTGGGATGTGCCGAGCGGTCAGCATCACCGCAGCCTCGTCGGTCGCACCAAACTACCTGGCCGATGCGCGCGCGCATGCGTGGGCTGGCGCGGCCGCAAAGATGCACCAGCCAGCGCCAAGCACTCATCGCAATCGCCGCCGCATGAGGTTTGCAATCCAAGTTGCAGGTGGGTGGGTGGGATGTTTGCGCGAGCAGTTGGGAGTGGTCAATTCATTGCGAACAGAAATTAATTGCACCACGTAAATTGCACCACCTAGATTGCATCACCTACATTCCACCGCATAGCTTGCACCACGTAGCTTACACCGCATATATTGCACAGCATCGTTTGCCCCAGGTGCGGTCAAACACAAATATTGCATCACATGTACCGCACCGCCTAGATTGTACCACCAAGCTCACACCTCATAGATTGCAACACGTAAGCTTCACCAGAGAAAGAGAGAAAACAATAGAGGCAGAGAGGGAAATAAAAGAGAGAGGGAGAGAACGAGAGAGAGAGAGAGATTTGTGTATTTCACTACAAAGATTGCATCACATGTTTTGCATCGCATATGTTGCACCACGTTTATTGTTGAAAAGCACTGGAAACCATTGTTTGGGCTCCACGCTGGCTATGACATAGCGTTTATCCATATATTACGAACGCACCTCCAGACAACGTGAAGAAGGGACCCCATGTTTTGCGGGGCTCCTGAGGGGCTCCTAAGATGCTTTTGCAAGGTTCCTGCACCACCCCGTGCGCAAACCCTCTGGTGTTGAGGAAATGCCTCGCCTGCCACGCCCTGGGAGTTTGGCGCGGATAGAGGCCGCCACCCCCTGTGTGCACCTTTCGGATGTCGAGAAAGTACCACGCCTGCCACGCCCTTGGAGCCTGATGCGGATAGAGACCGCAGACCCCTTTGCGCACTATTTGCGGTGTCAAGAAAATGCCGTGCCTGACACGCCGTGAGAGTACGGCAAGAGACCGCACCACGTAGAAGTGTCACGCCTGCCACGCCGTGGGAGCCTGACGCGAACAGAGACTCCAAATACCGCACCCTTTGAGAGATAATGCGGATCAGGAAGATTAGGAGGAGCAGGAGTGGGAGGGGGAACGGGGTTCCTGTATATAAAAAGCAAGAGGGGAGAATAGGAAGATGAGAGGGGACTAGGAGGAGGAGGAGGAGGAGGAGGAGGAGGAGGAGAAGGAGGAGAAGGAGGAGGAGGAAGAGAGGAAGCAGGAGAAGGACCAGGATTTCCTCAGGACAGCTATTTCTACCAGCCGGTGGCCGAGGATCGCGCGGCGGAGTCTGTCTATCGCAGAGGGGGCGAGCAAGCTGACGATGGCTGGGGCAGAATTGGGGCTCGAGTCACTCCTTGGTCGGGTGGCAGCGCATTCGCCCCAGAGGTGTTGAGCGGGAGGGAGGTCCGGAGCAGCCAGAGCGAGATGGCCAGACGAGATGGAGTTTTCGTCATGTGGCAGTGCAGGAGTTGGCCCCTAGCGCAGGATTTCCCTTGTGGGCGCGGCCCTTTCAGTCGACGACTTCTTAGGGAATCAGCGTTCAGCCTCTTTAATGTTCTGGGGGCAGGAATGTTTGATCATTGCCCGAAAAGCGCGGCGGATTCGATGGCTCCGATATCGGCGGACCTAGATAAACCCCTGGGTTTAACAACCACCATAGGAGATTCGACGAATTATGGTTATGATGCCTGACGGGAATGTCATCTTGTTTGGCTGCGCATTTCATCCTATCCTGTGCGTTCCTGTCTGCATTCAGCTTTTTCGTTTGCATAATTTCCATTATTCCGAAGTGGCCAGTGCAAAAGTATTACCGCACCGCTGCCAGCGAATAGCGCGGCACATCGAGCAGCAACGTCACGACGCTGCCGAAGGTGGTTGAGGCCCAGCTTCGCGCAGCAATACGCTGCAGTTGTCTTCTGAAACGCCCGCGTGCGATCTCTCCACCGCGCCGTGGCAAGTAGGGACCGCCAGGTACAACCTGGGCCAGCCACGGCAAACACGCCGCAGCTGAGAAAAAGCAGAAATATTTGGACGGGCGAGTGGGGAATACTAGAGACACCCCGAAGCTCCGAAGAGAATATGACCGTACGGGAGCGGAGGGCAAGTGCAGTTGAACGAGGCAGCAGGACAGACGGGGATGCAGCCGAACGAAGTCGGGGACAGGGAACAGCCGACGAAGCAGCAACAAGCCAGACACAGGGACACCTAAGAGGGGGCAGGGCTGGCGAAGAAGAAGAAAAAGAAGAGTGTGAATAGAAATCATGACAGTAGTAAGGATAAGGACGATAATATAAGCAGTCATATTCGTCACAAGCGAGCAGCACCACTGGCCCGGGACAGCTGGCGCCGGGGCCGAGCGCGGGAAGTTGGCGACAGCGGAGGGTCGGCCCCAGAGCTCCAGGCCGCCCACATCGGTGTCGAAGCTGATGGGGTCGGTGAATCGCGCAGCACCGCCGATGCATTGGCGGTGCAGCTCGATGCAGAGCCCGATGTTCTTCACGCTGACGTCGCCTGTATGCATCGCCAGTGCATCGGCGATGCGGCGCGATCATCAGACCCCGTCTGCTCGGACCCCGCTCTGGTGTCCTCCAAGAGCCAGAGACGGCACACGGCCGAACGAAGGAAGTCACCGTCGAGTTCGATCATTAGTCCGGCCTTCTCATATCAAGGGTATGATGTTCCAATTTATTTTAGCCTTCATCACCAGAAATAATTTCGAGCAACAGGAAAATACCGAATCTCTGAGCGCTGTCACGTGTCGGGCCCCCGGAGGCGATACCTGTTCGACACCGCTTCGACACTCCTCTGGGTGCTCGAAATGATATCTGGGACGTGGTCCTTCAACACGATGGGAGCAACGTGAATCGAGGGTGCTGTCGTGTCCTCCGACTCGAGTCCCGCGTCGTCTGCACTCCTGGGGCAGCGTGGCCCTCGGGAGGGTCTCGTGGTCTCTCGCGCGTCCTTCTCAAGCAAGCTCTGTGGCAGCACCGCAGGGCGAGGACGAAGGCCATGACCAAGCAAATTCGGAAGTGCTTCCAGACCGATGGTGAACCGCACGTACGCGAAAATCACAATCGAGTGGCATGACTGTTCGATTGTCACCACAACCATCATTGTTGCCTGTGTTGGCGTTCTGCTTGGGCCCTCTTGGGCCACTTGAGGCGTTGGAGGCTCCAGAAGCTAGTGGGTGCGTTGAGGAGCTCGTCTACCTCTTCTCCCCGAGCCCCCCACTTCTCATCCGATTTGGGACCCTCGGCAGAGGCAAGGGGGAGGGGGACAGCCAAATGTCCCACACGCCTTTTCACCCCTGGCAACCGGGGGTCGGCGGACTCCTTCGCCCTAACTCCTGATTTCTGCCCCTGTCCCTCGACCGTCCCTCGTCTCCGAAAATGGGGAGTCGGAGGATCCCACTGTGCTGTAACGCTTCCTTGGCCTGCGCTAGAACCTGAGCGCGCGCGAAGCGCACGCACGTTGTTCTAGCATGTCTGAGTGTACATGTCTTGCTGTGGCGAATCAGCCAGTCTTCGTACACATCAAAAATTGAGCCGCCGCAGCTTGTGCACGGACCGGGGGACCGGGTCTGGAGCGCCACGGAAAAGCCCAAGCTGGCCGAGGACGGCCCGAGAAGACTCCCAGAGGGTCCGAAGAGACCCAGACGACAGCCGAGACGGGCCACGGGTAGCACAAGAGGCCTCCGTCTCAATCCCTGAGGCCCTCCTGAGCCGCTCCAGCAGCAATTTCAGGTTCCTGCGCATGCGCCCAGGTAGGCAGTTGCAGACCGCGATGTGTGCTTGGTTGTCTCTGGTTCGACTTGGCATTTCCGCACATGCCATCAAACATGCCCACCCACATCCTATTTCTGATGATCGATGACCTCCGTTAGAACGATGCTGGCTACCGTCACACATCAGACTTTTTGTGCCCTATTATCTATCACACAATAGTTGTCTGAGCGGTCGTTCTGCTTACGATGTAGGGTTGAATGGCGCCTCCATCCATAATGGACATGCTATGGGCTTGCCAATAACATCTGAGGACAATGGTCGATTGTTTGCAGTGCTGGATTCAAGACGGCTGCTATTAGAAAGTGGGACGCAGGAGTGACCACGTGGGATTGCCGTGGTTTTGATTTTTTGTGTTGGCTTTACGGACCTTCGAAAGGCCATCTCACCCATGGTATGACGCGGTGGCATGGGTCCACGGTGCAGAAGGATGATCAAATAGCCTTCGGCCCATCCCCCATCGTGCTTGCTCTGAGGTTTAGAGGTCTATGATCAGGCGGCACTGGCGATGGGCATTCGTTCTCCTGGGAGTTCAGCTGGAAGGAAAGGGGCGATGGTCTCCCCGTCTGGGTTCTCGAAATTACCTCTTGGGGCCGTCTTCGGGCGGTTGACGGGAAGTGCCACCCGCGTGGACGGCTTATTCCCCATATCCAAAGTGGGGTTCTTGTTTTCTCTGGACCCTCCGCGCAGGAACAGGAACAGGAACACCCCCACATCGTCATCATCATCATCATCACCATCACCACCATCATCATCATCATCATCATCATCATCATCATCATCATGAGCATCATCCTTTTCCTCATCATCATCATCATCATCAAAAACAACAACAGCAATACCAGCAATAACACCCACACCAACGACAGCAGCAGCAACAACAGCAGCATCACCATCAGCAGCAGCATCACCATATGCATCATCATCAGCAGCAGCGGCAGCATCATCATCACAGTCATCAGCACAGTCTTCATCATCAGTTTCCCCCGCTTCTTCTTCCTGCTCATAATCATTACAGTCATCATCAGTATCAGTATCATCATCATCAGCATCATCATCATCGTCATCATCATCATCGCCATCGTCATCGCCATCGTCATCGTCGTCATCATCGTCAGCATAATCAGCAGCATCATCATTATCATCAGCATCATCATCGTGATCGTCATCGTCATCGTCGTCGTCGCCATTACCACCACCATCATCATCACCCGCCATCCACGCGCACTCTTTGGGACGTGGTTCTGCACTTACTCAATGGGACACATGCTGTACGCACACCTTCTGGGACGCGCTTCGCACGCACCCGTTGGGACACGTACGTCACACTACACGCGCACTTTATGGGACGTGTTTCGGCACGCTCGCAATGGGATACGCGTAGCAGTAGTACTGGTAATATGAGTTGTGGGGGCGGTTGGTGGCTCCGTGAGAGCCGTGTCGGTCGTCTTAGGTGTTCTTGGCCTGCCGAACGCCGTCGGAAGCCGTCTTGGGGGCCTCTGTAAACGGACGTGGCGCCTTCTTGGGGAATTCCAGGACCGTTTTGGAAACCGTGCTGGGCGTTCTGGAAGCCTCTCGGACCGTTCTTTGCACGATGGGCACGCAGGAGGAGGAGGAGGAGGAAGAGGAGGAGGAGGTGGAGGAGGAGGAGAAGGCCTATTCGGAGTCTTTAGGGCACTTCTGGGGCCGCCCTCGAGTTTCCCATAGTCCGTCGGCGTTGTCTTCGACGTCGTCGTCGGTCTCGTCAGTTGTCGCTCGTCGGCCGCAGGAGGAGTCGGAGGAGGAGGAGGAGGAGGAGGAGGACGATATGGTGGAGGAGGAGGAAAGGGATGAGGAGAAGGAGGAGGCCTCTTGAGAGCCTGTTCGGATACTCTTTGGGCCTCCCGGGAGCCTCCTGAGGTGTCTTGCTGACCGCTCGGGAGTTTCCTTTGGCCTCTTGGAAGGTTTGGGGCCTCTTGGGGGTCTCCTTGGCCGTCCCAGAGCGTTCCTGGCCCGTCTGACACCGTCGGAGGGCTTCTTGGGGGCCTCAGTGAACCGACTTGGGGCCCTCTTTGGGCGCGTCAGGGCCACCTTGGAGGTCATCTTGGGCGTTTCGGCGTTTCGGAGGCCTCTTCGGCGTCTTCGTCTAGCTTGCTACATAATTCTCACACGCCCTGCAAGCGCACTCCTTGGGACGTGCTACGGCACGCACCCATTGGGACACTAGTCGCCCGCACCCATTGGGACACCTACGTAATACTACGTGCACACCGTGTGGGTCGTGCTCGGGCACGTGCTCATTGAGACGCGTTTAGTAGTTGTTCTTGTAACATGAGTTGTGGGGTCCTCTGGGGGGTTCTTCAGGCCATCCTTGGCCACCTTATGGCGTTCCTGGCCCGTCTGACGCCGTCGGAAACCGTATTGGAGGTCTCTCTGAACCGACTTCGGACTCGTGGGGCGTTTCAGGGCCGTCCTGGAGGTGATGAGGGTGTCTTCGTGTCGTCCCAGTCCGTCTCGCACGGGACGTGATATGGCACGCATTCATTGGGACACGTTGAGTACGCGCACCTTCTGGGACGTGCAGCGCACGCACCCATGGGGATACGTACGGAATACTATACGCGCACTCGCTGGGACGTGCTCCGGCACGCACCTACTTGAACAATTGTAACACTTGAACAATTGTAGCAATGGTACTAGAAAGAGGCATTCCTGGAGGCCCGTCGGGTCATCTTCAGGCGTCTGAGGGTCTCTTGGGATGGATCTGGCCGTCATCGGGCCATCTTGGAGGCGCTTGGGGCCATCTACAGGCTATTATGGGGTTCTCCTGGGCCGTCTCTGGCTGTTGGAGGGCCGAACCAAGCAAATTCGAAAGTGCTTCCAAACTGATGGTGAACTGCACGTACGTGAAGATAACCATCGAGCGGCATGACTATTCGATTGTCACCATCACCATCACCATCGTTGCCAATCGGAACAACTGCCTGTGCGTCGGGGCGCGCGCGTTGGTGTGCACACCCCTACCGGACAGCAGACGGGCGCGCGATCTGGCGGCTCGCGCTGTCGGAGGTTTGCGCTTTTCCAGGGCCCAGCGCTCAGTCGGGCCTGTCCCTCTAACAGGCGGGATATTCAAAAGAAATTAAAAAATAGTCTGGGGACGACTTTTTGTTTTTTTTTTTAAAAAATTATTTTTGAAGGATCTTCAATTTTTCGTCCAAAATCCGCCTGTAGGGGGACATGCCCGACCTAAGCCCAGCGAAGC